AACAAAAAAAAAACAACACACGATTGTCCTATTCAGAAAGATGTAACCTTTCCTGCTAGCAAATGAGATGCTTTAGACAGAAAATATTTATATTAATCAATTGTCATTAATTTATTAATTAAAATCAATTGTCCTTAATTTATGGAATCAACTTTGATGATTCAGTGAGAAGCAATTTCTAAACCTTCAATAATATTACAGCAGTCTTTAGGATTCATGTATACGTACAGATGTCTTAAAATGCATTTCTGCAGACTCGCGTGTAAGAATTAATTTTGGTTTATCTCCACAGAGCCTTACATGTGCTATATATGTTGGTATGTGTTGTTAATAATTCCCTTTAGGCAGGATTGGTAATAATGTACTCTTAGGACTAAGAATTCTCAGTGTGTTGTGAATAGAAATATCTGCCTTCAGTTTAAATTTAAAGTGAATTTAAAATGAAGGCTGAGAAACTGTTTTGTGATATCCCTGTATGACATCATCTTTGCTGATTATTCAAGACAGCAAAGAAATTGTTCCTATAACAAAAAAACTTCAGCTGACTATAACCTAATATCAGGCTTGACATTCTGCAACACAGTCTAAAATATTTTAAGGATACCAAGTAGTTTTGAGTTACCTGCCAATGAGATTTCTGAAGTTTTACATAACTTCATGAGTTCAAGCAATGAGATAAAATCTTGGCAGTATTAAGTTGTGACAGTATAAAAATGTGGAAGGTAATATTCATATTGACACTTTTTTTTTTTACTGTCAGTAGCACTGAAACACTGGGAAAAGGGCAACTGTTGTAAGAAATAAAAAGCTTAGATCTCTACTGATTATCTTTCAAAGTCATAATATTTTCATGCCATTGTCACCCTACATCATCCTATCGTTTCTCCCTATCTTTCCTTTTCTCACCATACCTCTCCCCATACAACATCTCTGAACTACTGACTGGACAAACAGTGTGCATGTGCTGCAGCTGGTTCAGAGCTGCATGTTGCAACTGGCTCAACACTGCTCCTGTGCCAACTGGCAATTGACAGGCCAAACAGTACAGATAATTTTCAAATTCATATTGCATCATTTCCTCAGTGGGGTCAATAACACATTTTCCTTTCTTCTTTCCAGCTTCCAACTTTTATAGAAGTTCTACTATTTCAAAGCCTTTGCAACCACCACTCATTTGTCAGATTGTGGTTTTGAAGACTTGTAGGTTCAAAGCTATTGGCAGAGGAAGGCAGACTCTAATGCATATTTCCGAATTTCTGAAGTAACTAGACTAAAAGATATGAGAAAATAATCCTGAAGATGGTTATTAACATAGCACTTTAGAAGCATAATTCTTCTGATATTTTACTCCCCTCTAAAAAAAAAATAATTATATATATATATATATATATAACAGTTTGCTTTCAGTGTTAGTTTTACATTCACTAATATCTGTAGAGCACAGAAACTGTACACAGAAGCTGTGTGATGGATGCTTGAAGTTATGACAGTAACTGAAGTATTCTACACTTCCACAGGGCCCTTCACTCCTAATCACATACTCTTTAAGACAATTGGCTGTCCTTGAAATAGTGTAAAATAATCACATTGGCTATGGACTTCTGACTTGTAGGCAAAAATAGTAGTTCTTAGAGGGATTGTAATAACAGTAACAATGCAGTTACTGTTACAAACAAAACAGTAGCAAATAAAGCAAAGAGCTATTGTTTTGAAACAATACTTAATAACCAAAAATGGATTGGAAAATTGGATTCTCTAGCATATTGTTTCAAGACTATTCCTTTTATCTTTAAGATAACACACAGCTTTGACTGAATCTTACCTGTTCTTCAACCACAACCTGAGACTTGCTGTGTCCCCTTTTTAGGGCACCTGTCAGACACAGCTTCCTCACCTGGTGAACTCCCCAGTTTTGCTATCTCTGATTTCATCATACAGGCCCTATCCTGAAAAATCAAAATGAAAAACCTACAACTTTGCATCTGTATGTGTAACTAGAGTAGCTCTCCTACAGATGCTTACAGATACATTCCTTTGAAATGTACCTCTTTAAAAGGAAGCCTCATCTACAGCTTAAAGTTCCATCCCGGTTCCTTGTTCTGGTTCAGGAAATACGCCTAGTTACTTCGACATGTAATGCTGCAGTTTCTGATTTAGGTATCAGCAACACTAAAAAAGTCTTTTTGCCTCAAGTAAATCTTCTTTTCAGCCTCCATCACTCTCCCCATCCCCAAATCTCAGATTTCAGTTTTTGGCCTTACACCAGCACGCTTAGATTCAATGCTCTTTCAGCTGTCTTAGCCTTCTCTTTCATAAGCCATGTTAACCCACCCTCAAAACACCTCCTTCATCTGCTTGAGTCCTCCAGTCTTCTATCTCAGCTCCTGTAGTATCTGCACAGCTGCACTCTTCTCACCATCTGCAACCGCCTGCATGATTCGTTATCAAACATAACAGACCATGATTATTTGCTAGTTGAAAAGCTTCAGTGAAATTTACATCTGTTTCTGGAAGAGATTCAAGAAGTCTGAATTTGCTTTCTTAGAGGAGAAGAACATTACTGTCTGTTTTCTGTGGTTTTATTTCACTGATTAACTTCACTCCCCTGCCCAAACATCTAGCAAGATATATCTGATAATCTAATTTCAACTTAGTAAGACTGTTATCCAATAGAAGAGACTGACCTTCATATAAAATATTACAGATTGAATCCCCTTCTTCTTTTGAAAGTTCATGGAGAAATCCCAGTGAGTTAGCTTTCATGCTTTTCTACCAGTAGGCAAACTCTAATGTCTTCTATACACAGCATCTGAGGCTGGTTTATTTATTCTTCAGGGTATTGATTTTACTCACTCCTTCAAAGAATTTTTACAGGCTTTCATCACTCAGTGACTACATTTAAATTTAAAACAAAAACCAAAACCAACCAACCAAAAAAAAAAAAAAACCCTGCTAAAAATAAACTAAATTTGATTTAATGGCATGCCACAACTCAGAGCACCTAGAGTGCAATTCTTACATTTCAGTTTTGTTCCAGTAATTTAGAAATTCCTGCCATAAGAAGTTTTTCTTCACAATCATTTATCACAGAAACAAAGCCTACAGTGAATTAATATTGCAGTCTGAAGTCCTGTCAGTGGGTATGAATGCAATGGATCTACATTTTTTGGCAAATGGACATCAAGCACTTGTACTTCCAGGCTACTGACAAGTCAGATAGAGGATATAGTTGGTTCACATGACTTCACAGTTCTAAATCAGGTCACTCGCAACAGTACAGAGATCACAAGCCTCTCACTCCTGCGTGATCAAAAACGTCAGAATACAACCAATTATTTTCCTAACATCTAAGCTCTCCATTTGCCCTTTGCAAGACATAAAGGCTATCTACCTACTGGTTTAACAGCACTGTATTTAGTGCAGCGTCACCACTACTGCCTGCCTGTCATTCCACCACTCTCCTTTTTTTTTTTTCAGTAAGGAAACAACTACATTACAGAAAGGTGGAACAAAAACCATCAGACTATTGAAACGATCAGGATAAAAAAATCTTGTTCATGAAGTCATATATATACTTTCATTACTTTGCAATGTACTTTGTGAGACATTTCAGCTGACTGATCAAACTTTGAATAATCAGCTATAGGGATACAGCATTTACAGCAGAGTCAAACAGAAGTTCGGTGCTGCAAAATAAAGTTGCATTAAGGTTTGGCCAGCTTAAGTAATCTAATAGCTCCTTGACATCAAAAGAATACCCCTGCCATTGCTCCCTGACACTGTCCCCACCTCCCCTCTCCATTTCCAGCCTGCCCTTGTGTTGGATCTCACACTCATCTGATTTCCCTGCCCACAAGTATGGCAGTAAATAAAACAAAGTCAAGAGTACAGGCTAGAGCCACACTGTTAGTACTCTCTTTGACACCATTTTGGCCCACCTCAGCTTGGTGTTCTCCCAGATAAATGCTCAGGCAGGGTTAAGGGGACAGCAGAGACCAAATAGTGAACTGTTCTCCACTGGCAATTCAGAGGCAGCCACTCTGGTTTGGGAGGAAGCCCAAGCTAGAGTGCAACCTTTCCACTTAGCTCTGGATCCAGAGAACAGTCCCTGTCATATTTTATTACCTAGTATAGACACAGCCTCAGTGAAACAATTTGGCTCCAGTAAAACATAAAAAACATAACATGGGAAAAATGTAAATAGACAGAGATAGCTGAACAGACTCACTAAAGGGCAGCAATGAGGAGGGACAGAACCACAGAGCCGACAGCAAAGGAGAGAAGCACAAGTGGGAGCATGACTGATCTTCAACAGCAATTGCCAGATCAGCTCAAGCCATGCCGTGCAATCGCACTTCTTGCTGCAGGGCTCTCAGGAACAACAGAAAGGGAACATCCCATTCTATTCTTTGTTTCCATACACACGTATGCCAGGTAGAAAAGAAATAAAATGATTGATAGCAGCAAAATAAGCAATTCTATATTCTTAAAGGATAACTGCTATTGAAGAATTCTCACAGAATTTATCACAGAGTTTATAACCTCAAGAAAATGCAATTCGCTGAAACCTTAGAATTATGGCAGAAGGCTGAAAATCAGGTGCCCCAAACACACATGTAACAGCTCAACATTTAGCAGCTGTTTGAAAACATTGGCCTGCTTATGTACAGGCACTGTACATCTCTATGGAAGCACAGTACATCAGAAGTGCAGCTGCTGCCTTTTTCAGAAGCAGCATCCAGTGCTAAAAACTACTCTCATCTCACAGCTACCTGTTTTGTGAAGCTAATACTTGACTTATTTCTAGTTTGTCTGGCCTGCATCTGTCTCTTGCTCTGATGAGAACAAATAATTAAATAAAATAATAAAAATTATTTTCAGGCATAAATGTACTACATGTAATATGTACATGTAATATGAGCTACATGTAATGTGAGCATACACACTAAACCATTTTCAAATTTCAGACATGTACAGCTTAATAATATAAGTATACTCACAGAGCAAAATTCTCTGTAGTAAGGCTGTCAGAATCAACAAGGGACAGAACACCCCTCTTTGTATGGCTCTCTTCTAGTGAAACTGCATCCACACAGCATCTTGCATTGATAAAAAAAAAAAATAAATAAAAAAAAAATCCACCCAAAAAAAACCCCAGTAACACAGCACACTGATTCCAAACTATACGTATCGACAGACTAAAAATGATTTGAAGATCCACTTTCAACCTTTGCCAACTATACTGACCAAATGTCAGTATCCAATATTCTGTGCGTAATTATACCAGTTATTTTTTCAAATTATTCTTAGAACTACTAACCTCCACGACAAATCTAGTTCCAGCCTCCATCAGAAACATGATGTTTACATTGGCAATGAGTAGTTCCTGCTATCCTCCCCTGAAAACTGCCAACAATCCCACAATATTCACTATGAACTGTGGGCTGAGATTTCGTTTTATTTTCACATGAGTGGGTAAATTTGTAGACTGTTGTAATGGAACATTCACCAGCCCCATGGCAAAGAATGCCACCAAGCACTGTCTGACAATAAACCAGGAATCTCTAAATCAGCCTCTTTTGACAAAGCACTCACCGTCTCCACATTACCACCCTCAAATCCAAGTGGTTTTATTCTATATTTTTCATTCTAATTACGCTGGGAAACATTTTTCATAGGTGTTGAATGAAGATGTGAGAAGGTTTTGTTTTCTTTTCCATGAGCCCATAATGTTACTCTAATGCCACGTGCTTAGTAACATTCTTGCTGAATCTGTAACTAACAGGCAACTAAGAAGCATCAACAGTAATAGAAATCCTCACTTTCAAAGAGAATTTATTAATAGACAAAAGTTCTTACCATCTGGACACTCACATTCTGGTTTAAGTTCAGTGATTTCTTCTGTGAAATTGTTTTATCAGTCATTTCTGGTAAACAATTAAAATAAAACAGGCATGTAGCAGTCCATGTGTTTAAAAAAATGAATTACAATACAACTATACATGAAGATTTAGAACTTTCTCAGACAGTGTCACCGTGCTAGATATGTAGATATATCCAACAAGAAGTAAACCCTCTTTCAAAGCCTTAATAGAATAGTTTCAAATGACTTTTTTTTTTTTTTTTTTTTTTTAAATCTAAATAACATTAGGGCAGATAGTGATAGCATTATTTCATGCAAAACACACCAAACTCTAAGCTACTCTAAGCTACTCGCAACACTAAATGCTCTCAGCTCTAATGTATATATATTTTGTTTGTTTGTTTGTTTTTTACACATTTAGATGAATAATTCATTCAGCCACCTATTCACCAAACACCAGCTCTGATTCTCTTTTACATACTTACCAACAAACTGGACTACAGAGATATGAAAATACAAAATAGAAAAATATTGGACTAATTTGTTTTCATATGCATTACAGCTGGCTGGAACCTTACAACTTCAGCAGCTGCTAAAAGCCAAGAAAAGACTCTCAGTTTCTCATGGCAGATGCTTTTTTTTTTTTTTTTTTTTTTTTTTTTTTTTTTTTTTTTTTTTTTTTAACCCAAGATTCTTCTGCTATTAGGAAAGTTTAATAATAATTAATCTTTCCATTTATAAGTAGATTTAAACAACTTAAATAGGGAGTTTGGTGGCCCTGCATGTGGCAGGGGGTCTGGAGATTCATGATCCATAAGGTCCCTTCCAACCCTGGCCATTCTGTGATTCTGTGAAAACCAAATATTATTGTGCGTCAGCAGTTCTAGAGAGGGACAGTTAACCTGCCAAATGCTTGCAAATATATCTCATGCTGTCAGTATTTCCACAGGTATGAGATAACTTGAATCTAAAATGATACATTTAGTGAATATAATACAGCAGAATGAACTATCCTCTTTGCTGGTTCTCATCTTTCAAATTGCAAAGTACCAACAAGTTTCCACAGCATGCATGTAGAGCACTTTAAAACACATCGAAGAAACACATTGATGTAACAAGCCTAAATCAGGATTAAAAAACTGCTGAATAGTATTTTATAATTTGTAATAATCTGTGCATAGAGAGCCCTTCATTGGATACAGATTATACTTCACAGATATTTCAAACACATATGCAAGGCACTTATAAATAAATACTGTTTCATAAGCAGAAACCATTAGAACTGGTATGAGGAAGCCGGATCACAATTGGCAACACCTCAATGCCACATGCAATCTGGTCAGACAGCAATCTTCCTATATCCATATAAAGTTTGACAAACATGCCAAATATCACACTTTTCAAGGCAGAGCGATTTTCACTTTACTTTGAGTCTAGTGCTGATTTAGAGCCTAAGCTTACAGGATAAGTACTTTTTCACACAGTGACCATTCAGCGCTCTCCTTCAAAGACTTGTTCAATATTTAACCTTACAGGCCTGGTCCTGAGAAATACTGAACACTCTTAAATACTTCTAAAAATATTAAGAACTCAGAATTCTTCTGCATAAAACCTTTACACACTTCCTTCTATGTAGAAGTTGAACACAGAGAACAGACACCACAGCATAAGGAAATCTTGCTTATTCTGTTCTCCATGACCTGCCCTTTATCAACTGTTTGCACAACTTATTCAGATTTCTTTCTTGGTCAATTGACTATTTTTACATCAATTACTCCTTACAGATATACTACCCCAAATGTTTTTTTCCTCTCTAGTAGTTTGGGAACGTTGCCAAAGTAGTTCTCAGCCCCCATATTCACTTACCACTTCACGCAGCATCTGGCAAGGTTGAAACAGAAGCTGCTTTCCATAATCTGTTCCCTTTCCATTTCACGTGCACATTGGTGATAGCAAGTGGCTCTTCACTAAAAAAAACAAACAAACAAACAAAAAACAAAAAAAAACCTGCTGATATTCTATTAAAAAAAAAAAAACTCAACAAAATTTCTGAAAGCTTACTAATCTAATTTTATGTTGATAGTACGTAACATAATGGCTTTTTCTTATTCTTAAAGTCCCTTCAGGAAAAAAAAAAAAAAAAAAAACAAGCAAACAAACAAAAAAACCCAACAGCTACCAACAAACACTTATTTCACTTGGGTGAATACTAATTTTTTTAAAATGACTGAGGCTAATAATACATGCCTAATTTTACATGAAGAATACACTGACATCTAGCTAACTAGGGTCTATGACTGGTACATCCCAACAGCATTCAGATTTTTTTTTTCCTCCATACTAAAAGTAAATAACTAATTAAAAGCACTCAAGATCACTTCACTGAAAGCCTTCTGGTATTTTTACTATGTACTGTAAAACAAAATACTTCTACTCATAAGGAGCATCCTCACAAATGTCCAAGTGTTTATGTGGACAAACGGTTAAGGTTTTTGAGGAACACACACATGCATCCCACAAGATGTCTTTGCAATTGGCCTTTCAGCTACCAATCACACCCCAAAGGGAGAGATTTTATTGTAACATGTATATAGTTACAACCATTAAAGGAGAAAAAAAAAATAAAAAAGGCTGCACATACATAGCTATAAAAATAAATTATAGTTTGATTAAATTGGCTCCATTCAGCTCAAAACCACAAATTAAACCATTAAGGAGATTTTGCAAGTGATGCCAGATTTGATTAAAAATGTTAAAATTCCAAAATGCTGCAAGAAAATGTTTTCATTTATAATAGATACAAATTCAGCATTATTTATTTTTCCAGACAATTATGGCATTCTCCTGTTCCTGGACATATCTCGTAACAGATATTCCAGTTGCAAGAGCGACAAGTCATAGCGCAGATCTCAGCAGGTAAGTTAAAACATTTCAAACAGGAGGCTAAAAAACTAATAATAATAATAATAATAATAATAATAATAATAATAATAGGGTGTTATTTGCAAATTTGAAGAAAGAGCTTCTTCAAAACACTGAGAATAAAAAAATATATGCATTCCCCTCTTTGATCAATTCAGGCAAACAGTGAGCACTATAATCCATTTTCCAGAACAAGATGAATACCCTGGGCCACCCATCCTACTGTGCTGTGCTGTGATGTTTTCTCCCCTGAAGTTTTTATAACACTCAACATAAACTATTAAAAACAACTGAAATGCAGCCTCTATTCCATGGTTTAAACCTCCTAATTCCCTTTGAAAGCACTACAGTTTGGAGGGGCATGCACAGGAAATTAAGATATTGAACAAACAAACAAGGAAACAAGAACAACAAAAAAATCCAGTACCCTGAACTGCAGGTGAGAAAAATGCCAGGACACGTGGGATTATACGAGACAACAGAACTCTCTAAGCCACCTGACTGTGCAGGATGAGAGTCAATGCAGGGCATCAGCAGACTGATAAGTACTTTTTTTGGCCTATGTCAAGCGCTCCTTCCAAAGATGGGAAAAGCAAGAGGGTGTGCTATTGACGCGGTTGTACAAACCTCTGATAAGGTCTGCGCGTGCACTGAAACTATGCACTGTGCTATGTAAAAACCATAAAGTTGCCACAAAAAGCTACTAAGAGCCCAGGGCTGCTGGCTGGGCAGCTCATGCCAGTGAGCAAAAGCTGGTTTAGCTTCGAGCAGCGTGTGACCACATCACATGTACCACCGCCACCCTCAGTCCCAGCACTCCACCAGGTATCCTCAGCATTAAGACAGCGATTCAAAATATATCAAGGGAGCATTTTTACGGTTTCCCGCTTTACTACCTGCGAAGACCGCGCGAATTTCAGCCAAATAATTAATGCGAGATGCTAACAGGAAAGTCTGCAGGTGTCCTACAGCCCTGCAGGGGACGCCGGAACCAGGTCCTCCTAACCACGGACCCTTCCAACTCGAGCCACCCCGACTGCTCTCCAGCACCGGCCGTGTCCGCACAGCCCCTAACGCTGCCCCCTGCCTCCACCCCAGCCCCACTCAGGGCCGGCCCTCGCTCGTCCCTCAGCTCCCGGCACCCACAGCATCTCCTCGCCAGCAGCTCCCCGCCTCGGCTAGCGGGACGCGGCGTACAACAGGGCAAAGCACAAGGAGAGTAGACGGGAGAGGGAAGGCCACGCCATCGGCAGCACCAGAACCGGCCCGCGCCCCCGCCCCGCGCCCTAGACCCCCCCAGCCCGGCCGGGGGCTGCCCCCGGGCAGCGCCGCGCGTTCCTTCCGCCCGCAGGCACAGCCGGCCAGGCTGGGGCCAACGGCGTCGCGTCCCCCACCCACACCCGCCCTCCCGGTGCCGCGGGCCCGCCGGCCTCCCGGCGCGAGCAGCCCCCGGCGGCAGCAGCCCCCCGAGCTCGGGGACACAGTACCCCACTCCTGCGCCTGGCTGAGCGGCTCCGGGCGGCGGTGACAGGTACCGGAAGTGAGGTCGCGGCACACACCCCCCGCCATGGCCACCCGCCATTGGCTCGGCGGGCGGGCGTAGGGCGAGTGCCGGCGGCGCCGGGTGCCTCCTCGCCCCCTTCTTCCCTTCTCTCACCGCCATTCCGCTTCCATTCCCGTCTGTTCGCCCGCGCCGGTACTCACCGCTGTCGAGAGAGAGAAGGCGAGACCGAGACTCTGAAACTTTCAGTCAAGGGCGGAGAAAGGCCCGCGGTGCGGAGAGACGGAACGGCCCGGCGCGAAGGCGGCCGTGTGGGGACAAAGTCTGCGCTCGCAGCCCTCTTATCCGCCCGCCCGAGCTATTTGTGGCAGGGGCCGGGCGCTCACGTGAAGGCGCGGCGCTCAGGCGGCACGAGGGGGGCGAGTGACCGGTGCCCTCCCGCCTGGCGGTGCCCACACGGGGGGCTGCCCTCACCTCGTCCTTCGTTAGCACGGCCCCCCGAGCTCTTTCTTGCCTAATAGAGCACGAAGGGGTCTTAGCGTGCCGTGGGGAAGAACTGCTTTGGGACTGTTCCCTGAGGGCCTTGGCAGTGTCTTGGGGCAGCATGAGTAGGGCCCGAGGACATGGCTATGAGGAACTTTGTTCTGTTCTGGAAGTAAAGGCAACATCTACCGTGTAAAATCCCTATTCTTCACTAAAAAACAGCATGGACCTGAAAAGTCTTTCACAAAGCTTTGTTTATTTCTTTAATCTCTTAAATCCTCTCAAGGTAACCCAAAACACAAATGCTGTGGTTTTATAAAGGAGTCAGCCTTCCCCCTCCCCCCTCATTACTTCTCCTTGACTGCTTCATGAATACTACATTTCTTCATTATCCTCATAATTGTTGTGGTTATCACTACAAAAAAAAAAAAAAAAACCAAAAAAAAACAAAAAAAACAAAAAAAACAAAAAAAACAAAAACAAACCACCAAATATATATGTATATGTATCAGTAGCTTGCTTTTTGTAATTGTATAATTGCTCTGTTAATTTCATATTCTTGCTCAGTACTGTCTGGAGTAGTCAATGGAGAAAACACAACCTGTTTCATGTGCTTCCAAAGGGAAGATCATTTACGTATATTGAGCATACACTCATGGCTTCTGCTTATTTTTATTCCTACAGCTCAGAAAATAGAAACACAGGACCAGAAGGGAAAGAAAGACAGCTCTGCCCTGGAGCCTCAGCTGTATTACAGCAAGCACCATCTTCAGTTTCATACATTTCTCAGCCTCTAGGTTAAGCACATGGATCTGTATGCTGGAGCACTCACTGCAGAAACAGCAATGATAGAGCTTGTAGCACAACCAGAGAACACGCTTCAGTGAAAGCTAATCAACAGCAGCTGCTAACAGCAGAAAACCAAAGCTAAGGAAAGCTGACATTACAGTAGTTGAAGGCCTTTTCAAATGTGTTCTGGAGGCAGCCCAACTTCTCAACCAGTTGTGCTCAAGCCAGGCCAACACCCAATGCTGCAAGAATTAGCTGGTTTAGAAAGTTAATACCTGATTTTAACACCTTCATATTTCCACATGATCTGTATGTAAGGGAGCTCAGATGATAACGAGACAGTAAGAGATATTATCTGGGGAGATCAGCTTTTCATTGTTTGCTTTTGCTCAGTTGTTGTTGCTGGTTTTTTTTTTCTTCCTTTTTTCATTTGTTTCCCTGAAAATATAACCAGTTAAGATGAGCTTCTGTACAATTACAACTATATTTTGTTTTGATTTGAGTTAATTATCAGCTCCTAAAAATATTATTCTTTGCCCTCTTTTAAGGAAGCTACTCAAATTTACCTAGCTTTAGATGGTTTGTTCACATGCATACTTCTTCTGCTAGTAAAATAAAATTTAAAAAATAGAAAAATAATAAAAAACAAACAAACAAACAAACAAAAAACCCCACAAAAACTATACTTCCAGGCTTTTGCCTTTTGAATTTATGGATTTTAGAGATTTGCCACAGCCAGGGCTTTGCTTTTGCAGTGAGAAGCGTCCCAGGTTGTTTAGGCTTTGCCCTAGCTCTTGAGCTTAGCTGTATTTCCTGAGGACTAAGAGATATTTCGTGTGTGTTTTACTGGGTTGCACATTAATGTGGTCCCACACTGAGTAAAAACTTTAAAATGTTTATCGGAATTTAAAATAATTTGTGGGCCATTTCCTGTTGACAAGCCATGGGTTCCCCCTCCTACGCTCTCTGATAGTCAAGCTTGCAGCAGCCTCTGTCTGTAGCAGTCAGTGAAGAGTACCATGTAGCCCAAGACCCCTCCACTGGAAGTGTTTTCTTTTCCATAAAATGTGTTTTGTCCATAAAAATGGCTGGTGTTGCAGGATGTATCTGCAGTACATCCATCTCGCATTTCAAACATTTGTGCAGGGGACTTTGCTGATTTCTTTAGTACTGAAAGTGATTCTGCATGCAGCTTCCTGATACGGTTGCATAAATTTGTATCACAATTCAAATCTTAATGACAATAAGTATCTGAAACATCCATTAGCTGTTCAAATGTGCAAGCTTTTAGAAATCTGAAATTAGATTATTTACCAGGCTTTTAGATGGAATAAGCTATAATTACTGTTGCATTCTATTAATGTGCAATAACAATATTGGTGTTGCTCAATGGATTGACAGTTGTGAAACAAGCAGTCAGACTTGTGCAGTGGCTGATTTTCCATCTTTTCAGCATCTAGCTGGTTTTGTCAGAGGTCTCCATCACACGTAGTCTTTCTGTAATAAAATGTTTTCATTTGCAAAACAAGAATGTCTTCCTGGCTGTTAAACAACAGGCAGGGAGTCTTGCAGCATCTATGTGGAAGAAGGTGAGCGAATCCAGTCAGACCATGGATCACAACTTTGGGAATGGGATCAGCAAAGGCTCGCTGTGCCTTTGCCAGCTCCTCTAGCTCCTGGTGACATGCAGGAAGTGGGCTGCCCCTGCACTCAAATATTTGCTGTGGTTTCTCTTGCTTATCCAGTGATAGGAATTTTAACAGACAATGTGTCTCAGTTCTGCTGTGTCATCATGAAAGACTTTCTTAACAAGGTCACTACAAGCCATAAAGTGGGGCCTTTCCATTAGACATTTATCTGAACAGAAACTGCAGCCCCAAACAGCACATACAGTGTTTCATAAGCTGGAAAAGCACACAAGTTCCTTTTCTCTTTCTGTGGCTAATGATTTAATGATGAGCTACTGTTCACTCACTGAAAATTATTTCAGTTTAACTGTATTACTCTTCTTAAAGGAAAAGAGGTGGACAGACTTTCACAGGAGAGCAATCTTTACAAACAGAAGTCACTAACAGAAGTATATAAAAACTTTTGAGTGTAATTTAAGACTTTTGTGCATAATTTTGTGCAGGCTGAATCCTGCCCACTTGTGATCTGTCAGAGTAACGTGAAGCCAAAAGTCCTGAGTGATAATAAATGGAAGATGACAACATGAGTTATATCAGTTAAATACATGGCTTACGTACATATGCAATATGCAAATTATTCTTAAAGGACTGGTTCTCTCTCCAAATCAACCCACCTACACAAGCGAACTGGTGAAACAGAGGCAAATGTGAGATGAGCCCATCCTTACCTTTCTTGCTGTCCCACTGCAGAAGTTTCACAGAAAGGTCTGTGCTGGGATTAACTGCTGTTTTAGGGCAGGCTGTCTTTGAGGGCTGGTTGGCTTTAGATGCAGGTCTCTGGGCTGTATAAGAGTAAACTTCTAAGAGTGGTAAATGAACACATTCTAAGATAAATCATCTCAAGCACACCTGCCTCATTTTAATATGACAAGTCCTGGACAGAACCAGAGAGCAGGTTACAGGCTTACACAAGCCCAATTTTCCACAAAACTCTCTAGATATTGGATTATTTTTTAAACTAAGTAAGGTTTACTTTTCCTACAAAATAAGAGATGAAAGTTGATAGCTATATTTAACTATATTTAATTTTCATTACAGATGTTTAAGATGCTGTTCCACTTGATGCAGACTGTGGACCAAGACAGTCATTTCTAAGATATTTTCTATCCAACTTTGAAAGTGAATTTACTCATTACTTCTTACTTACTAGTGAAATAGTTCATTGTTTGTCAGAACTTCAAGACCAAATGCTCCAGATGTCAGTACATCTCTTCCTGTCTCCTGTCTGAACAGTTGTATTTAAGATGCTGCTGCTCAAAACTTACCATTTAACCCTTCTTGGCCCAAAGTGTTTAGAATTTCTCTAATAAACAATATCCTTTTCATGCTGATGCTTTCATAATTACTATTGGCTGGCTGTTGTTATTGAAAAAAATTGAAAGAATTGTGGATTTACATTTTGCTTAATGAGATAGTTCCCCCAATATTATTACTGCAACTCATTCATTTCTCCATTTTAATAAAAAAGTGATTTTTTTTTGTTTGTTTGTTTGTTTTTAAGAAAAACTGTTGTTGGTGAGCAAATGCCTTTCTTACAGTAACAAATGATTCATACATTATGGGTAAATGAAAGGGGAAGCCCTGTCCAAGATCTTCCAGAGGGGAAGCCCACTCCTGACCCTTCTGTAACATGTCAAACAACCATCGGGGAAAGTATTAGATTGAAAATAGTTTACAAGAGCAAGCAAGTACTCTTAACAATCATCTGTTTGGTTCTTTCCTAAATACGCTCTACCTCTCATCCAAATGTCTTCCTCCCCCATTGTAAGATTCCTTTCCTGTGCATTTTGGTTTCACTTGGCATTCTATTACCAGATTCAGCAGGATTTAGCAGACTGAATAGTATTTAAATGTTTCCCGCTTCAAAGACAGCATTTTTCCTATCCAGGCCTTTCACTTCCCTGCTTTTGCCCTGTTGGCTCAGCAAATTCTCTGCTGCTTCTTCTTCCCCAGTCTGCATTTCATATTTGGTGTCTCATTTGTCACACTGAGGTTCTCCTCTTGGGCGACATCTTTAAACCTCTCTGTCAACAGCACCATCACTGTGATTCATGTCTTATTCATTCTTTACTATTGCAACATATTTTTTGCCCTTCGTTCTTCCCACTCTTCAGTTAAAGCTATCCTTTACTCTCAAGCCTCTTTAGTATTTGGAACTGTTCTGTACTCCTTTCTGGTGGCTGCTTCCAACAACCAACCCTTCTTTCCTCTAATACCTCTAATGCCCTGTGCTCTGCCTACTGTTCTTTAATAATCATGCTAAAATCCACCATGTTCCTGAAGATCAATACAGAACACTGAAGCAAGAAAAAATGCATGGTGGATCATGTTTCTTAATACAATTAGCAGCTTATGTTAGGTTCTCTTTAAGACTTGTACTGTGTCCATTTAAATACCCATGCAGTGCATGCGTATGTCCTTGCATGCTTAGATTAGCACACACTACAAATGGTAAGTTCTTCCAGCATACTTTGATCAATACTTATTTATTCTTGTCTGGCTTTAGTTGTAGCCTTAATCTAAGCTTCAGTAGTTTATGCGCCTTTTCTCATGTATTATGCAGAGTTTAGGAAGGAATTACCATGTATATGTCAGCTTCCTGTGATCTCAGCTCTTTGCAGCCCAGACACAGAAATCAAAACTACAGTTGGAAATGATGTTTGCCTTCATACTAGGGATTACACTTCAGCCCGCGTTCTTCATGCACCAAAGGTATAAGTACATTAATTTAGCAAGCAGATGCAGTGATTTTAAAAGTTATGTTTCTGCTGGAGCACCCAAGCAGAGTCAGCGTGAGTCATGTGCACTCATATTTGTTTTCCTGCAAAGTCCAGTGGTTTGGCTTAAGCTGCTTTTGAAGGTGAGTTTAAAGTTAAGCGTTGGGTTTTGACCTTTTTTTTATTTTTAAGGCAATTAAAGGGAAAGTACAGGTTGCATGCTGCTTTGAGAGTGGCAGATTGGCAGCACATGGAAAGAGCAAGTTGAAAACAAACTGGGAGTTACTAGGACTTTGTATCCACACTTTTGCACTGCTCCAAGAGCCTTAAAGCAAGTGGTTTCTTTTTCTAGTTGCTTTTGCAAGCCTAAATACAGTCTTCGAAAACACCTAATTTTATTTTTTTTCTCAACCTGGAGAAAGATATTTCTGTCAGTGTAGGTTTTCAAGTACATCATATCAAGTAGAAATTTTGAGTTTGGGTGCTAGGGTGTGTAAATCTGATACTTATTCAAAGCAATTAGCTGAGTAACTATTCTGCTTAAATTGTTTTCCTACCCTGTTTTCCAGGCCATGACTAACTCTCACTGTGCTACACCCATTTTTTCCAGCTTTCATGACTGATACTTTGAGCACATGCTAGAACAACCTTTTATGAAGAACGATCACATGTTTCATTTTTGGGCTCTTTACTCAATTATTACGTATCCGCAGATCAGATTTTTAAGTAAAAGAAGCTTGCAGTTGGGCTGATCCTTTTCAGGTGCCGCTTTTATCTTCACACTTCAACTGGCCATGACCTCGTTGAGGTATTTCTCACTGTTCTTTTTGCTTTTTTTTTTGCTTTGCTTTGTCATGTGAAAATCACGATTAACAAGTTTTTGAAAGAAAGACAGTCCAAAACTGTTTCAAATGTTTGACAAAATAATTTCCAAACAAGATGTCTTGTTTTGTGGAAGAGGCCAGATGAGATTTGAAAATGCATGCAGATTTACTGTGCCAGGACATATCAACAAGCTTATTTCTTGTTAGATGTTCAGAGCCAGCTCATCTGAGGCGAGCAGCAGAAAGGCCGTAGATTCCTGATACTGTAGACTCAGGAACGTCTCAGCACTACGTTCTCACTGTTCCCTCACTACCAGCAGTTTTTAGGGCCATTCTGTGAACCAGATTAGGAGACCTGTTCAGCTGAAAAATAACTTTTAAAAGCTGCAGGAAATAAAAATCATTTCCTGATCTAATTCCTGGCACATGCCCCATGCACTGGAGAGACCGTGTGCTGTGATGAAGAAACGCTGTCTGATTTCTTCCATCTGCAGTACCGCTGGAACCTGCCTGGCACCAAATCACAGTCAGGCCTAGGCAAAGAAGTGGAGGGGATGACAGCACTGAGTGAGCCAAAGAATCAGGAAAGAGGAAAGAGCTCATTTTCTTAGAAGGTAGCTACAGGGAATCCTGAAACAGAAGGTGATTCTCAAGTGGACGAAGAAGAGTTAAGCTAGTAAATGTCTTCAGGACAGTTGCAGGTCCCCTTTGTTTGGATATGCAAGCAGCAGCAGGAACCATGACGTTCAAACCTGCTGAATTTACGGAACACCAAAGCATCAGCTCCTTAACACTGTATTTGTCCAAACTGTAATGAACAGTTGTAAGTAAGAAGATCTTACGGAGCTGTGTTTAGCAGGAATATCTGTGTGGGAGAGGGGTGGATACCTTTGGACTTCGTTAATAATTAACTGGAGGAGTGTGCTAAAGCCTATGGAATGGATAGTATGGCAGTAAAAATACCGTGACTCACTGAAGTCTGAGGTTAGCAAACGGACAGAAGTAAACAAAATCGCGCATGACAGATCCTTCTGCAGATAGACTTGTTTCTCTTTAATGAAACTGTCTGAAATGCTTCCTTCGCTTCTGGAAAACACATGTAAATAAAGTGATTCTAAGCCTGAAAGAAGTAAAAATTGTTGCATTCAGAGCTGGATATGAATCCAAAGCTTTTCTACAACATTTGCAATATCCAGCCTATCTTCTGAACATTTTTTCTTTTCTCATAATAAACCCTATGTTAACATCTTGCCAGTTAAAAAAAAAAAAAAAAAAAAAAAAAACCACAAAGAAACCTTCTTTTCTCAGGTCACTTTGCTTGAAAGGAAGTGAAAGCCAGGATAAAAATGTGGATATGTAATTTTAAAAAGCAACAGAAGGACGTTCTGTGAGCAGCAGGCCTTTCTAGTCTGCTTTTCATTGTATGGGTGTCACTAAATGGTCAGTTTTTAACTGAATTGTTTTATAGAGCTTCCCCATTTTTTAAATTATTATTTCACCTATATCCATATAAATATTTCCTGCTATCCCTTTTTACCTCATAAACCTTGGCTTGAGGTAACAACTTGTTCCTGCACTTGGTTCCAGGAGCAGGCAGATAAAATTCCTCCTGTTTGAAAGAAAAGCAGCAAATATTCCAAAGTTGCTCTCCTACCAGCTACTCAGTGCTTGGAGGGTTTGCATGTACTTACTGGGTAGATTCCCTCTTTTGACAAACATAGCTGGAGACCTCAAATGTTCCCAAGCCAAAGGAAGCACCAGGAACAGGGCACACAAAATGACTAAGTTCTGTTCCAGAAGAACCTGAGTACAAGAAGCATGGTACAAGAGTGTTTAGAGACTTCACATAGATTTTGCATCTGTTTTAAATCATGCTACCCAACTGCAGTTCCTTTGATTACTCGGTCCATCCACGTGCACGTCTGCAAATATTTGTTAAAGAACTCAAAATATTTGCTGTTTATCCTGGGGTGTAATATTTCATATATTTGTTTAACGTCCAGGCTAGGATTTTCAAATGTATCAGCTTGCTCAATGTACCTTTAATTTATTTCTCTAGCTGCTCTAGAAAGAAAATAATTTCCTCTGTATACATACCCTATACGTCTATTCTTGAAATGTTTACATTCTAGGAGTTAACCTGTTGAAGCTGTGTAAAAGATAATGCTTCCTGTCACTCTTGCACATGTCAGCAGGTTTGTAGTCAAAAGAAAAAAAAAAAAGCCTTTGCTGCAATATACTTGCAGTGAGCACCCTGCACCGCTGGAAAGATAGGGTGAAGACAAGACACTGCTATTTTATCACGGGGTAAATGAGGCTAAGATTAATCAAGGGTGTGAGGGTGTTGACATCACTTAATTGCTTGGTAGTAGAATTACAAGTGCTGTCTCTCCACTGGAGATTTTACAGTTAGATTAGCTATTACATATTACTGTGCTCTAACACAAGGGCTTTGCTGTAAATAAAAACAAACCAAAGCCAATTAGAATGCAAAGTGAAAATAGATCTTATTTTGAAGGGCAAATGCCATAGTTTAATTTTAAGAATGGAAAATGAGTGACAGGATCACAGCACGGCAGAGGCTGGCAGGGTGCTCTGGAGGTCACCATCTCCCACCCCTGCTCAAGCAGAGTTCCTCAGGGCAGGGTGCTCAGGCCCAAATCCAGGCTGCTTCTGAAGTTCTCCTAGGATGAGGCTCCACAACTCCTCAAACCAAGGTGTCTCTGGCTCCAGAACTGTACTTTTGGTGGTTATGGCAACAGAGTGGTCCTTTAGGATTATGTCCATGTTGCCACTCAACAGTGTTGAAAACAGAAAATTCCTTTCCCTCCTGAGCTTTTTTCAGGCCCATATCCCTGTCATTTACCTTCTTTGGGCTCTAGCAATTTTCAGACCCCCAAGCAAGTAAAAATTTGACGAAGATTAACCAAGTGAGTAAAACTTTGGTTAATCTTAGTCAGATTTTCACTTATTAAGTTGGCAAAAAAGACCAGATAATTTTCTGTAGGTGCATGAGTTGGGCTGACTCATCAAGGAGACAGCAGACAGCAGAGCAGGCCCACAGGAGAAGAGATGGCCTCAGCCAGGGCAGGAGGAAGCTGGATCTTCCCTGTCGTGGCTATAAGTTGTTACATCAGTTCAGTTGTTTGTTAAACCACACCTGGGAGGAAGGTGGCAAAGGCCACTCACTGAGATGTTTAAAAGTAGATCAAGGAGTGGCTGAAATCACTGGTGGGGTTTGGTTTTCCATATGACCAAGGTTAGTTATTCCTCTTTTCTATCCGCCTTCTCTAAGCTCTTTGGCTAGGGCAGTGTTCCCCTCAGCAAGCCTCCCATTGTCCTTTCCTGCCATCTTTAAATCAGTTATTAAAGCCTTATATATTCCACACACTTTTTTTTTTTTTTTTTTTTTTTTTCTGACACATTTTTAATAGACTTTATACCAGAGTTGTTGCTCCTGTTTACCTGAGCAACCGTGGCAATTCTCTGTGACAAACATCTCATGCTGTTCAGTTCTGTAGATAGCCTACAGATAGCTTACGATTCTGAGATATTTTAACAGCTTTCATTTGCAACTAGCTGCAGAAAAGTCAAATGCCTGAATCAGTTGTTATCCTCAAAGAATACTCTGAACTACATACAGGAAAATAGATATAATTAAGTAATAACATTGAATTACCCATTTTTTAGAGGTTTGAGCCAAATCAAACTGTTCTTACTCTAAACTCATTTAATCTCTGATTAAAAATAAAAAGATTAATACAATGCTGAATTTTTTAAAAACTGCAGTTCCTAGAAGTGCACAGTTGGAACAACCACACCTTTTTTTTCCTCCTCTCTCTTATATTGACCTTTTTCACTCCAGAAATAGATGTTTTACAGCTGGTGTATATATTATGCTTATGATGTTTTCATTTAGAAAGATATCTACAGATGTTAAATTAATCTAGGCAGATTTTATTTACCCTTGAGACTTAGCTACAGTGTTTTCTCTTGGAAAGTATTCACGTTTTATTTGGCTCCATGGTTCATGAAAATCTGGCAGTCTCTGCACAAATTATGGCTGATCTCATGCTTTTTCTCAGACATCCTCTCATGTACCTACATATGAAAGATGTGTATAGTACTACCTGAGGATGTACTTTAGAATCTGTTTTGAATTTGGTTGCTAATTCAGTGGCCCTGCTTTTTCCTTCTGAAAGCAATTTTTAGTTCATTCATTCATTCAAATGGGACTGAGCCTAGCAATTCTGCTCTCTAAGTAGCCTCCTGGTAGAGCTACTCCATACTGAAGAGATAAACCAGATCTTCAGATATAAGTTTGGCAATACAAAGGTATCTGTGTGTTTATATACAAAGAGAATCTGTCTGTTTGCAGCTCTCTGATCATGTTTGGCTGGACTCTATACTTCTCCAATGTGAAACACCAGGCTGTACCCAGAGCAGCCTGTACTGGATATGAGGCTTCTGATAAGCTCCTGGATACCAAAGATTATTGAGTAAATGTGTTTGATACTGCAGTACACTGTATTATGTTGCTTTTTCCATTACTGATCACAAGTCATCAAAGGGCTACTAGAAAGTAGACAATTCAACCCCAAGGCTTTGGGCTTCAGCAAAATGAAATCTTACTTTTAAAAAACATTCATGTGCCTTGAAAAAAAAAATATCAGTACAGCTTTTTTTTTTTTTAATTTTTTTTTTCAGTCTGGATTAATCACTTGAAGTAATGTGCTAAATACAGTGAGCCATTCTTTTTAGGATTGCATGGATCAAGCCACAGTTCTTGGCAAGCAGATCCTTCATACCATGCATGCTGCAATCCACCATTGTTATTTTTTTTTCATGGCAGGAGAGCAGAATGATTACAGAAAGTTAAAGGATAGCTCCTCCCTGAGGATCTTATGCTATAGCAGGAGATATCACTCAGGAGGAGTGGGGGAACAAAAGGGTTGCCATAAAGGTCGTGACAAAAGCCTGATGTGGCACATGATGTTCAGATTGGGGCTCAGTTATGGGTAGCTGGTATTAAAAATGGGGAATGAACGTACTGCTGAGATGTACCAGATGCAGACATACTGTGAAAGAAAGGAAAAAAGACATTGTTGGTAGTGGAGACCTTGGAGTGGGGCCAGGAAGTAAAAAGATTCTGTAGACACTTCAGCCCTTTAGTCCCCATTAGGACTATGCAACCTATCCACCACATGCCCTGTGGGGACCTGAGCAAAATGACAAGGTTTTATCTCTTTTTTTATGGGTGTTCTGTGAGATAAAAGTCTTGCAATTATTTTTGCCTCGCTGGATTCACCAGTGTGGAAGTGATACAAACACAGAAAGTTATTGAAAAACCCAAAACAAACATAATAACAACCACAAAACCCAGGAAAATTACATTCTAGTTTTTCCCAGTATCATTACCATAAAGTATCAATGGTCAATGTGGTAAAATTATAGCATTAAATGTAATAAGAAAAAATTGCTTTTTAGGAGAAAAGATATAATACCATGTTTTGTTCACATCAGGCAGAATGCAGTCTCAGGTCTCACATGAGAAGACACTGAACATAAAGAGATTAATCAGTGTCTCTTTTTTGTTCCTCCAGCACAAATGGAAATTACATCTACCTTATGCTGACAAAAACTGCAGTAGTAGTAGTGTCCTGATGTAAGGGCACCGACATATGCTGTAACCCTATCTAGTAACTGCTCAAAGCAGTTTTGCATGTCCTCTTAAGGATGATATAGAGCTTCTCTTTTCCTGATACTCACAAGGCTGTATCTTCTGCTGCTTTTCAGAAGGTCACAACTTTTTAGTTGTGCCTCTTTCCAGATGTATTTGTAATGCTTATCTATCACACAACCTGGGTTTAACTGCAGTGTAAGAGCTGCAGCTCTTTCATGTTCTTATCTGCATTACTATTTTCCTTGCCCTGCTGCCACAGATGAGATGGCTTTTTTGCCAGGTTCATAGTACAGAAATAAAACACACTTTCTTTTCCTTACATGAATGCAGAGATGGTGATGGTATCAAGAAGCAAACTGAAAAGTTGCCTGGTAGCATAAGTGCTTCTTTCTATAACAGTACTAGATATACCAATGTGCTTCTGAAGCCAGAAAAATTCATTATTTAATAAAAGTAGTGAAAAACACACACAATATGTATTGTAGGGATCCCAGGCCTGGTGACAAACCAGGAAGTTTGATGTTTATAGTTGATACTTTAGCATGACTTTACCATTCAGCTGGCTTATATGACTATTCAGCAAGCACCATATGTAGCAAATGAAGCATAGTGCCCACCTCAATTACATTCAGATTTGCTCAAAAGCAGACAACTTTTAGCTTTAATAGAACCAGTTTCTGTCATTTAGAAGTATTTCTCCTTTCACTGACAAAAACACAAATACATGATTTCCATTAAGCTCTTTTGTTTTTTATTCCCAGTAACAAAATATTGCCTCTACAAAAAGCAAAGAATATCTGCCCTGGAAATTATTTAAAAATAAGAAAAATACATCTTATGCTTACATTACTCGCTAGCAGGAATGAAACACTGCATTCCTTCCTTGGAGGATGCTCTCAGATGCAAACAAACCAGAATCTATGCAATTTAGTCACCAAAACCACTAAAGTAAACCTTGAATCCAGTTTTAGGAAACCATGAAGTTCTATTTTATAGTGCTCTGTGAATAGTTTTGTATTCCCAGCAGTTGGCTTAAAATAGTAACAGAACAATTTGCCATCCTCAAAAAAAATCATTCGATCATAAGAAAAATATTTGCATGAAGTAAATGGACATTGAGTAACTGCGAACTTTTGTACCGGTGGCTGTGTTGCACCAAGTCCCATGACAAACAAAGGGGGGAGACCAGGAAAAAATGGACATACGTACAGCAGTTTGTACTGCTTTTCTGTTGTGTTGTGAAGAGTATCCTCCAAACAGTGACAAAGAGGCTTACCATTACTACAAATCCTAACCACACCCAAACAGAACAGTACAAGCTTGCAGACCCAATTCTTCCCTATGGCTAGTTCATTTGCCTGATACTTGGAGCTCTGTGATTTTTTGTCCTTCCATCTGAAATCATCTAGCAGAGACTTTTGTAGTGGAAAGAGTAGCAATCTGTCTTCAATATTGCTTGAGTTTTTTCCTGGGACGGATCCTGACAGCTATGCTGCACTGTGAATTGTAACCCTTAGTTACAAGTTGAACCACACTCACTGCTGAAGAGAGGGGACACTGATGCTCCAGCACACAGAAACTGGAGATGCAGTCTCCCCATGTACAGACCCTGAAGTTGGAGCTATGAGAAACTGATGTCTTTATCCAGCTGTTGCAACCTGGAAACTATCCTTACATTCCCTCTGCTTGCTTGTAAATCGTAAGAAAAAGGTTTAACATCACTAACAAAAGAAGTCACAATTCACCTGTGGATATGATTGGTTTTACAGCTGGGTCCAAGGTTCCGTGATTTCAGAGACTTGGGAAATACTGAGGATCTCTAAACATTCACTGTATTGCTTCTTCTAAAAATGTAATTCTTTTTAAAGCCAAAAAGAAAAACGAGGCTTTCTCGTTTGGTAAGCTTGGTATTGAATGAAATAATCACAGTGAACCTTTGTGCATTAAAATAAAATCCTACTTTTTTCTCCATTGTAAAACACTAGTGAAGGGACAGGAATTCCTTGTCTGAGTCATAAGCAAGGGCAACTTAGATGAGTCTTGAGCCACCAGGGCAGATGGTCATGCTCACCTGTGTCATGCAGACTAGCAGCATGATTACAGGCTTGCCCTTCAAACACTGGCAGCTTGAATGATCCATTTCAGAATTCCCTCTGAATTAGGACTTGGTCATGAGTTCGCCTGATACTTTTCAAACACACCTGGAAAATAATTTTAACATGTAATGACAATGAGTGGGTGGCTGCACTCAGGGACAATGCTAGTGATAGCAGTTGCTGCCAGTAATCTCTCTGAGAAGATTTAGTGCATGTTAATAGCCTGTAAGAAAGAGCAGGCTTGGAAGATCATGTATTTTCTTGCAGTCCACCTGAAGAGTGGAATATGTTTCATTCAGGTGGAATATGCTTTAAGGAGAAGCTGGATTCTCTTTGAATTTCCATGGGAAGAAAAAGCAAAAAAAAAGAGTGAAAAATATCTAGTTTTTCACTAGCAAATCCAGAAATGTGAAGCACTGCAATAGTGGCAGTGCCTGGGTCTGATCAGGACACACCCAAAGGGCTCTGTCCATACGCCCTGGAGCTCTCTCTCATTACTGGATAGTTTCTACCAAAATATTGACCCCAACCATTAATTTAAGAAGGAAAGGCTAACCAAGATGGTGTTTTATCTCCTCTTCAAAAGCCAAAAAAAAAAACCAAACCAAAAACAAAACAAAAAGCCTGCTCTTGCTTAGATCCACAGAACAGAGGAATATCATGGAAATAGTTTCATGGATGGGCTGGTTAAGTGAGAAGTTTCCTTCTGCTGAGCTGCTTTGGTTCCTTTAAGTAATGCCATTAATCATCAGGAAGTACCCTGCATGCAAGTGACTATAAGCTTTCTTATTAAATCCCTGTAGCACAAGCTATTGCATGCTGTTGGTCTGTAGATGGCATCGTTATAAGATCACTAGTGAGTATTCATAGGGAAATGTGTGATGATGGGAGAGAAATAGCGCAGGTGGAGTTCTCCAGGGCAAGATGCAATTGCAGTGATGTCATTGCCTCTTACTGTTTTAGTTAATGTTCAATTAACGTTTTTTACTGAACTGTTTTAGTTTAACAAATATCTTATTGTAACAAGCTGTCGATTTTTCTTTGGCACTTCTGAGCGCGAAAAATATATTATAATCCTGTATACAAGCATACATTTGCTCATGATCTGTGAAAAGAATAATATATTCAGAAGTGGAATAAGTGTTTTTCTATTCATGCTTGTCTGCATGAATATTTTCTTCACTTTGGGAAAGACCAAAACCAGTAAACATTGTACATCCTTTGTATTTTCATACAAGGTAGTATAAGTGATTGCCTAGCTAATAACTTGCTGGAAAAATTAAGGGTTCACTTTATTTGAACTATTTCCATATATCAGCTAGCCACCTCTTCTCCCCCATTTCCTTTAGATATTTCCTTTCTTTCCAGCACCCCCCACCGCATTGAATGGCAGTTCCACAGTACCTCTCATCTGGGGGATGCTAATTCTATTCCAGGCTCCTGCTGCTTGGCCAGTTGACTGCTTCCTTTTGCACTGACACGTGTCCATGTCAATAGGCAAACACTAATAATCTACTCCACTTCTGCCATTTTTTACATATTTTGTGGGAATTTGATTTCACAGAATCACAGAATCACAGAATGGCCAGGGTTGGAAGGGACCCCAAGGATCATGAATCTCCAACCCCCTGCCACACACAGGGCCACCAACTTCCCCGTTTAATGCTAGACCAGGCTGCCCAGGGCCCCATCCAATCTGGCCTTGAACACCTCCAGGGATGGGGCATCCACAGCCTCTCTGGGCAGCCTGTTCCAGCATCTCACCACTCTCTCTGTAAAGAACTTCCCCCTGACATCCAACCTAAATCTCCCCTCCCTCAACTTAAAACCATTTCCCCTTGTCCTGCTGTTATCCACCCTTTCAAAGAGTTGATTCCTCTCCTGTTTGTTGGCTCCCTTTCGGTACTGAAAGGCTGCAATGAGGTCACCCCTCTGTTCAGCCTTCTTTTCTCCAGGCTGAACAAGCCCAGCTCCCTCAGCCTATCTTTGTAGTGGAGGTGCTCCAGCCCTGTGATCATCTTAGTGGCTCTCCTCTGGACCCTCTCCAACGGCTCCTTGTCTTTCTTGTACGGGGGGCTCCAGACCTGGATGCAGTACTCCAGATGGGGCCTCACAAGAGCAGAGTAGAGGAGGATTTCTTTTAATCTAATATTTCACTGGCACTGTGGGGTCTACATTGCTACATTGCACACAGTCCCACTGTTCAGCCACCAGAACCTCATCTAAATGCAGGGACATGCACATCTGCCACCAAAGGAGAAGCATATTCATCTGTTTTGGGTAGCTACAAACTGCTGTAGAAAACTTCTGCACACGATTCAAAAAGTGCAAATACTGAAATCTAACATTTATTTTCATCACCATTACCAATGTAAGCTATGATTTCTCGTTACTTTTGGTGCTTCAGTAACTCAAACTAATGCATGTATCTTCTTTGTGTGTCTGGAAATTTCATCTTCATACATAGCAAACTACAACGCTCCCCAGGAAATGTTACCAACTAGCTTTTCTAGAGTGATTGCTAAAATGCTTAACAGTCTAGATTAATCTCTGTTGGTGGTTGTTTTTTGTTGTTCTTTTTTTTTTTTTTGAGTATATCAAATTGAGAAAGGCACAAATAACACATCAACATTGTGACATTGCCTGTCAGTAGAAATCAAGCTACAATTTTTTATACAAAATCACAACTAAACAGTTGTAAGCATGAACAACTCAACAGTTGTAAGCATTCTGATCTCTAACGAATGTTATTCCCATTTGTATTCACATACATGTTATTGGTGTGTAAGAAAGAGAATAATTTTATCCAGTTTGGAGTGATTTTATTTTCAAACCATGCAGTACCAGTAGTCATTAATGCCACTAATGATAAACATCTGACCTCTAGTGGCAGCTATCTCAAAAAATATGAAGAATTTAAATATGAAGAAGTTGGAGGAGTTGGAAAGAGAAAAGAATGTAGTTAAAAAATAAGATGGAATTGTAAAAGGTAACCTGAAATTTCACTAAGTCCATTGTTAGTATTTTTTTTTGGTTTAGATATCTTTTCTATCAGAATCATTGTTTGGGATCCAGGATAGTTTTGCTTCTAAAACTTTTCTTCTCAAATCTTTTAAATTGATTACTCTGCTTAAGAAATATGTGAATGATTTTCCACAAAGAGGTTTTCTGAAAGAAATATAGCAATATTCTAACAAGCTTTATATCTTCATGCAGAAAAGTTTTAGTAAGTTTGTTGTGCAGTTTGTTCCCACTTGGTGCATACACAGTTAATCAACAAGCACATTCAGATTCTCATTGGACTTCTCCTCAACCAACATGTAACGTTTCCCAGAGAAAACTGATGCTTCACTATCAGCACTCTGCATCAAAATCTGTGTTCCTGTTGGACTGAAAATACTGTCGCTATTCCATAAACAAAGGTCACAGCCTTCCTAATCAACTGGCTAATCCAAACATTAAGTCCCCTCAATGAGAAACAACAGTGTTGTTTTAAACACTGTAGGATTATATTTCAAAGCACTAGCTAGCATCGTTACAACACAAACTTTCTCCTAAGCCAAAAACATTGGCTGCAACCTAAGCCTGTTTTTCCTTCCAGCTTCACGAAGGCTTCGGGCCAGTCTAACAGTCTTGTTAATGTGATAGTGACAAATCTGGGGCAATATTAATTTTAAAGGTTCATTATTTTTAGAGTTTGATTTAGAATAACTTAGGCTTATTTCCTGAAGCCAGAATGAAAATGGAGTTACGTAAGACTAATCTGTTAGCACTTTAAAAGCAAGTTGGTACAGCTACATGAAGATATCAGCTCTGTAAAAAACAAAACAATACAAAACAAAACAAAACAAAAGCCATCTAGCAAATATTGCAGCCCCTTTAAATAATCAGTATGATGTAATAAGGGTAAATTTTTGTTCTTATGGTTGACAAACACTGATTTGAGAAGCGTCTACTGTAGACCAAGATAAAATTGTTTAATTTTAATACTTCCCATTAAAAATGATTAAAGTATCACAGTTACGTGACACTTTATGTGTAAACACAGTTCTATGCTTGATCTGCTTATGCATTTTCTGCTTAAGAGAAAAACTTCTGAACTGTTTCTCTTTTGGAAGCTC